ATAAGTTTCAATTTCATGACATTTTTACCTTTTCTATAACAGGATATTTTCGAGTCCATGGGGCAGTTTGTTGATGGGCTGAAGTTCAGTGGTGGATCTCACAGCATGATGCCAAAGACATACATCAGAGAAATAAGTGACCTGGCACATAAGCACAATGTATATGTTAGCAGTGGCGATTGCATTGAGAATCTTCTTCGTAAAGGTCCTTCAAATTTTAATGAATACATTAAGGTACACTGGGACGAATGGGTGTTTATTTCCTTTTTCAAATGCAAACTACTATATTATTAACACTTACGAGTTATTTGTAATAATGTTCTGCTAGGAATGCAAGCAATTGGGGTTTGATACCATTGAGATTGACTTTACATCCTTAGGTCTTCCGGAGGAAACTCTTTTGAGATATGTGCGGTTGATTAAAAGTGGGGGGCTTCAAGTTAGGCCTCAGTTTTCTCTCAAGTTCAACAAGTCTGACATGCCCTCGAGCGGCAATAGGGCTTTTGGTGCTTATGTTGTTCCAAGACCTCGAAGTTCAGGTGAGCTAACAAAAGTGTTGAAATCAAGCACAAGGTTTTCTGACATAGAGATAGTTTGAGATTCTTTCTGCAATCATGATTCCTGTAAACAAAAGTAACTGGAAGAAGTTTCTAGCATAATTACTTAGAGAAGTTGATTTATTCTCTAATCCCAACATATTGTTTTCAATTTTGACAAAAAGTTAAAGTAAAACCTAGAGGGATAGGTCATAGGATAGCACATCAAAGCTGAAGATCAAATTTTATAGTATACATCCTCAAATGAAGAGTCCGGCTTTGAATTTCTATCCTAAAAAAGAGTCATATATCATTGAATTCCATGTAAATTTTTAAACCAAAAGGGTCCCAAGCAAGTAAATTATGATGATTTTTTTTAAATATCAAATAAATTTCTAAATGTAAGTAAGAGTTGTATAATCTGCAAGAGTGTTACCTTTCCAAAAATAAAAAAAGTTCTGCCTTAAATAAAAGAATTTCTCTTTCCTTTTTGTTGAGGAAGGAGGGAACAGTAATAATTATAGTTGAAGTGTGGTGTTTTTTTTTAACATTCTCATTATAACTTGGCATTATTTCATGCAGACTATATTGAAGATGTGGACCTCTTGGTTAGGATGGCAGAGAGATGCTTAGACGTTGGGGCAGACATGATAATGATAGATGCAGATGAACTATGCAGGCACCCTGGCTCTGTCCGGGCAGACGTGATTGCAAAAATCATTGGTCGTCTTGGTCTTGCAAAAACAATGTTTGAAGCATCAAGTCCTCAAATCTCAGAGTGGTTTGTGAAACAGTACGGCCCCAAGGTAATTAATTCAGTTTCCTAAATTGAATTCTCTACTTAGAGCCCAGTTTTGTTAGGCCTAACATGGATAGTGGCTGAAATTACTGAATATGCTCAAAGTGTGAAATTATAGGACATTTAAAATATATATTTTTCAAATAAATCAAAGAAAATAAGATCTATTTTTTATGACTAAAGAAAAAAAATACTTCCTTTGCTTAAATAAAAGCATCATATGAGAATTTTGCACTATTCATTTATTCTCATTTGATTTTCTTCTGTGATGCATACCGAAAGAAAAATATAGTCACGTGCTATCTTGCTAGACTCGTTTGATATAATTTTGCTATTCTCATTTGATTTTCTTTTGTGATGCATACAGAAACATCGTTTGATATAATTTTGTAATGGTTTACTTTATGCATTGGCATATGTGTAAATCTTGATGTTGCATGTATTTAAGAACAGAGGAAGTAGGAAATAATGAAATATTTAGCGCTTATTCTTTAGGATTGGAAAAAAAGAATTGCATGACATTGGAAGAAATTAAAAAATTTTGAAAAACATTGGAAGGAACTTTAAAAACTTATTTAAGTGTATTTTTCATATAATTCTTATTTTAATTGTTATTGTTGTTGTTATTATTAAGCAAACTATCACATATCAAGATTTACTTATTGAAAAAAAATAACTAATATGTATATGTTGAATATAATAATAATAATTGAATATAATAATAATAATTGAATATAATAATAATAATATTATTATTATTATTATTAATATTAATAATAAATAATAATAATAAGAAGTTCGCGCCAACAAATGCGCCGCTTCGTTTGCAGAGCGTGAAACATATGAAATAGTAATCTCTTTGCCACAACAAGCAATGGAATTTTTACAATCAAGAATAATAGAATCAAAATAAGAGTAGTCGTTAGTCGAGCCACAAAAAACATCCACCACGTCCTTGCAATCGGATTCCAGCATCACCTTTGGTCAACTCTTCAATTTAATCCACTTAAGAGCCGCTCGAACCGTTGCCGATTCTGCTTCTCTAGCACACAAGCTTCCTCTCTCGGTGATGCTTGAAGCTCCAAGGAATTTTTGTTTATCATCTCGTGCAAGAAATCCAAAGCCAACCACGTCATCCACAAGACCTGTAGAAGCATTAACATTAACCTTTACCCACACCCTTGGAGGCAGGCTCCGCGTCATAGCCTCACCTCTTCTTCGTTCCTGCTCACCATAGTCAACTCCCACCAATTATCCAAAGCTGTTTTTGCTTTTGTCCAAGTTGACATAGCATTAATATGCTATGTTTCGGACTTTCGGTTTGTCCATATAAGCCCATATAATATATAAAATCTTTGTTTGGTCTTCGGGAGTGAAGAATTGAAGTGCTGCAAGCATCCATTCAGCAAATGAACATAGTGGCAGTGCAAACCACTCCAGATCTGAAGCTCTCCAAACCAGTTTAGCGAAGGGGCATTGAACTAGTACGTAATAAACAGATTCCTCTTGATCATCACAGATAGGACAGACATTACGCAAAGGCGGGCCTCTCCCAACCCAATTACTCGTACATGGGAGGACATTGTTTAATGCCCTCCAAGCAAAATTCTTCACATTAGGTTGAGCTTTAATGCTCCAGAATTTTTTCCACAAAACCCGTTCTCAATATTTACTGATCTCTCCCACACCAAATGTCTATAGGCACTTCGAACCGAATATTTACCTGACTTCTCATTACTCATAAGCCCAGACAAGACTATCCTCCATCATCGATAAAGAAATAGGGATCGCTTGAATTAAACGCTTATCGCGGACATTAAGAGTATCATCAATCTTTTCCCAATCCCACCGTCCATCGAGAATAAGATCTGAAACCATACAAGCATCACTCCTCTGTGGGTTGGGAGTAGTCACCCATGGATAATCTTTGTCACCCAATCAAGGATCTTCCCAGCTTAACCCCAAAATAACAGGCTCTTAAAAATGAAGGCTCAAAAGCAAGGCGTGTGGCCAAAACTAGCACCATAATCTCATATTCTCATCCTAAACTCGTTTTTCGGCTGTAATTTTCAGGTGAACCTCTTTGTGGACCATTCTCAAGTGATGGATTTGGAATGCCTCAGGGGACGAAACCTTGGTAAAAATCACACCTCCATTTTGGGTTCATCATATCCCCTCCTCTGATCTAGCCTCAGGCATGAGGAATGTGCATCTCTCTGGGTGGGGGCTAATTTGTAATGCTGTGTGCTTTGATCTTCTAAAAAACTGTGTAACTTTGCATGTTCTTGCTTCACTGTGTTCTGTGTAATAAAGGTGTTTCATTATTGTGACTTTCTCTTGTATAAACTGATGGTGATTTTATGAGACTTTCATCAAATTTGCCTAATTCTACACATAAATTTCCCCATGAAGATTAAATACTGAATATTTCTTAATTACTAGGAGGATGTGTGATTAGAAAACCTGAAAAACTCATTGAATTGAATTGATTAAATTACTTAATTGCACCACATCCCCTAATCAAAATGCTTATGATTTTTCCAATTCAATTTGATGTGGTCAACTGGCCATAATAAATGTGCATTAATCTTTGTTCACATCTGAAGAATCTCACCATATTTGGAAGGATCTCTTATTTCTCAACCAAAACAAAAAAATTATGGGCTGCTGCCAAAAATGGAAAAATGGTTAAAACCATGGTAAAAACTTTCCCATCCATAAAGTTAAAAAGGCAAAAGCAGATTGGATAGGAGTGGAGAAAGAAGATGCCTGCAGCAGTCTGGTTTGTTCTGAAGAGGTCATTCCACTGTAAATTTTCAAGAGGAGATGCCCATGATCCAAACACAAGTGGTAAAAAACCCACTCCAAGAAGAAGAAGAGCAGCCGCTGCCGCCGCCGCCACAAGGAAGGTGAAAAACAGGTCTGGTTATTCAAAGCCAAATAACCTGCAAGTCTTTGCCAAGAAATATGCAGCAAGTTCTGAATTTGTGACTCAAAATCCTCCTCTGAAGAAGAGAGTGGGGGCACATGTGAGAGGAGGAAGAAGCCAATGGAGTGGGACCCCAAGCAGGAAAGGGATAATAAAATCCAATGGGAAATTGAGAGGTTTGATTTGTCACACATGTGGTGAGATGCTCTCTGAATTGGAAGCTATGGAATCCCATCATCTCTCCAAGCATGCCGGTCAGTCTTTACCTTATAATTAAATCCTTTTTTTTTATTGCACTTCAATGACAAATTTGATTTTTGTTGAATTGGTTTTTTTGTTTTTAAATTAATATTCCAAAATTAAAGAGATATTTCAGAATGAATAATATATTGTTTTAGAATAAACTTTACGTTATTTAATAATATTCCAGAATATATATTAAAATGAACATTCTCTTATTGGTGTGAATCACCTCTGATTCCATTGGGACAGTTACAGAGCTGGTCAAAGGAGACTGGTCGAGAAACATCATAGAAATCATCTGCACAAGAAGATCCAACCATAGTAAACATGCGACGCTGATTCATAGGGTGCTGAAAGTGCACAACACCCAGAGAAGGCTCGCCGACTTCGAGGACTACCGGGAAACGGTGAAGGCCAGATCCGACAAGCTCCCCAGAAAACACGCCCGCTGTCTCGCCGACGGCAACGAGCGGCTGGGGTTCCACGGCGCCGCCGTGGAATGCGATTTGGGCGGTTCTTCCTCGGGGGGCTCGTGCGAATCGAGCAGGTGCGGGGTCTGCCGGATTCTGAGACAGGGGTTCGCGATCAACGGCGGCGCCGCCGGGGTGGCGGCGGCGTCCACGAGCGGCGGAGCGCTTGAGGGGGTAAAGGTGGGGGAGGGGAGGCGGAAGGCGGTGATGGTGTGTAGGTTGATTGCGGGGAGAGTTCACAGGGCCATAGAGAGTGTTGAAGAGATTGGGTGTGGGAAGTCATTAGGGTTTGATTCTCTGTCTGCTGGTTTGAAAACCTCTACTTGCAGTGTTGTTCTTGAAGATGATGAAGAAGAAGACCTGATTTTACTCAGCCCCAAAGCTTTGCTTCCTTGCTTCATTGTCATTTACAATGCTGCTGCATAGTTAATGATGAATTCACAAGAGAACATATACACTTTCGGAATTTGGAACTTAACTTGTTTTTGAACTTTGATCGCTGATTGGTTGCGGCTAATAAATAGTGAAGTTTGCACAATTGGACATGCTATCTGCAGAGGCCATATATTACTTGCCTCTAGTGTTCCAAGAGTCAGAAAGGGAGAAAATGTGTGTTTTGACAATTGAAAAAAAGAAAATCAGAGAATAAATTTGTATATAAATTGTGTGTTCATTGGTAAATGACATCAAAAGTTCAGTCACTCACCCACTACTTATCTTTGTTCAATTTGACTTCGATTATGAGTTATATAAAATTTGGTAATGGAGACCAACAAAAGAATAATTTCATTGGACTCATCACGCAAAAGGCTTTCAAAAAGTTATTTCTTGTATTAATATGTAATGTAATTGAACAAATACACTACACCATAGAGAGTGTCATGTAGCAAGAAAGAGACCAAAAAACTACATGTAATTGCTCGAAATATAAAATAGACCGGATAAATTTGGCCCATTTTTAGATTTTCAAACATATAATTTGAATCAAATATAAAGTTGAAATCCCAATTTAAATTTCTAAACATACCATCATAGAAATGAATACAAGTTCATAGATTTGTTTATACTCCGTAATATACAAAATAAATACATGAACATTAATGCACAAATAGTACAATATCTTTCTACTTGGTATTAGATAAAAAGTTTGTAAACTAGTAACGAGTATTTCGTTTCAAATCTTGCATTTGAATTTTAAAATTTGAATCATTGAGTTTAATAGGACAATGGGATGTATTTAACTTTTTATAGCGATATCACCATATTCTCATCAAAGTAATGCTAGAATAAAAAACAAATAGTTTACAAAATTTACAAACTTGTTTTTTGTGAATTTTAAATTAAAAATATATTTTATTATTTTAGTGCATCTTATTTCTAAAAAAAATGTTAAAAAAACAAGTTTGTGAATTCTGTGAACTATTTGTCTCCGACTCTAGCATTATTCTTTTGATCATCATTATTAATTACAGATTGCTCTCTCCGTTCCTAAAAGTCTTTCTCTTTATTTTTTATCTTTTTTTGAAAATATCTTTCTCATTTCTATTAAAAAATTACTTTTACCCTACTTATTTTTATTTATCTACCACATACATCTATGGGCTAATAATGTATCCATCATATCAAGACTATTTATTGAAAGTCAAAACAAAAATTTTCTCCCATGTTTTTTATAAAAATCAAAATAAAAACGATACAGACATGCAGGAAGAATTCAAACGTATTAAAGGGAGAAACAGAAGACAAATCGTGATAGCCGGCTTCGCCGCAACCTACTATGCAGTCTGGAGGGCTCGTAATTCGAAGATCAAACAAGAAAAAGTGATCTTGGTTGATGATAATGTAGCCTGGATCAAATTCCATATGAAGAGTTTTATTAACTTTAGATTGAAAAGAATGGTGTTGAGTTAAATTGTACATGCTTCTTGATTGTAAGTTTGAGTAGTAATAAAATTGTGCTTTTGTTCAAAAAAAATCAAAATAAAAAAAGATTTAGCTTTTATTTAATTTATTTTTCCTCTCCATTTCGAAAATAAAACAAACTCTATCATAATTAATAGTATATAGTGAATATGGAGATATCTCAACAATTTATGACTTATTCTCAGAAAAAAGACTAAACTAAAAGCAAAACATAAAAAATATAACAAAATAAGAATTTCTTATTTTTATTTTCAAAATAAGAATTACGCTAATCATGTCAGATGAAGAAAACAAGTTCTTAATTTATATTATTAAAATTTTAACGCTAAAACTAATCGTTGCTTCCTCTCATTCACATAATTTTAAAAGAAAAAAAGGGTTTGGTCTAGGGAAATGTTTGGTTCACAAACACAATGGTCACAAACTTTACAAACTTAATATTTATGAACTTCAATAAAAAAAATTAAATGGCCTAAAGTAATTTCAAAATAAAAATTTAAATCATAATAGTAAGTTTCTGAAACCAAAATCCACGAGCATCTGGTACTTGTACCATTAAAGTGCGACGGGTTCAGGTTGGGGGAAGAAGTTGCCGCTGCTCTGTTCACCGCGACCGCAAAAACCCTTTCCCTCTCCCGATCGAATGAGCTTTTATAAAGATTCAATATTTTTTCCTCGCCCGACGCTTTGATTTCTAGGCATTGAAACAGAGATTCTTCTTTCGATTGGGATCGGGAAGGGATCGACAGAGATAATGTCGAAGAAGAAAGCAACGATGACCTTGAGGGACTTCCATGGCGGTTCTATCCCTTCCGATCTCCCCCTCCCATCTGCCCCCGGCGTGTATGTGTTTCTTATGTTCTTTTACCTGCTGTATATCTCTCGCGTTTTTTTACAAATTTGTTGCGGATTTGTGTGGGTTTATGTATGCGCCTGAACACGTGAACGTTTGTAACGAAGATGAAGATCCCGATCTAAATCAAGCACTATGTTCTTTCCCTTTCTAGATTTTGATCTCCTGCGAACATGTCTTTGAATCCTCATATTATAGCCTCTATTCAAAATGGCTCTAAGTTTCCCGACTTCGTGAATTGCTGTCGATTAGAAATCTTTATGGGTGATTCTCAGCCAAATTTTAATTTTTTGTTATTAGGTCTCCAGCCAAATCATTCAGTAGTATATACGTTGGTTTTAGTTTTGTTAGGGTTCTTTGCATAATACTATCTGTTTTGGACTTGTGATACAATAGTCTCTTGCAGTTTGCTCATATAGTGCTCTCATCATCCCACCATTTGAGGATTTAGGAAACCAGTGTTTTTTATAGATCATGTTTGGTTACTACTTTTCGTGGAAGATACAAAATGGGAGTTTACTCCCTCCATCTCGCGGCCAATACTTTTTTTCCCATTTCAATGGAAAGTCGACTCAATGTATTTGAAAACAATGGATTTCAAATATGGAGATGACAGACATGATTTAGATTCTAGAGACAGTGCGTCAATTTTCTCTTGGAATTTTTTTTGTAAGTAACAATTTAACACTTTCCATAGCTTTTGGTGAAACATTGACGTGGATGACTGTGATTTGACATTTGGCAGAAGTGCGAGGCCATTAGATCGCCAGCTGTATTGGGGGACCAATGCAGGAAGGATTGATCAAAAACTGCGTCCTGGATCAGCAGGAGCGTCCCGGAACTTTGATGAAAAGGCTCTGTTCCTGAATCATAGTGCTCACATAGGCCGAAATTTTGAAGAGGATGAGAGGAAGCCGTTGGATGGGATGCCAGGTGCCCCCC